AAATTTTTCCTTGTAATGAGTAGTCAATGATCGTGTTAGTCGTAGTGTTAGTAAGACAAGTGTCGACAAACGTACCGTCCCTCCATTGTACCAATATTTTGTTTATTTAATTTTATTATTGATAGTTATTGCAATATTAAGCGATTCACTATTGTCAAAAAACGTTGGAATCCCAGTTGTAAGTTTGATTTCTAAAATGTATGATGCAAAGCATGGAGAAAATGTTGAATTGACTCGAAAAAAGCTTAGTCTTCATTTCAGGACTGAGCTATCATGAACAATAGAAAAATTCACCGAACAATATTTTCTTTGCTCGTCTCTTACAACTGTATCAGTGTTTCATTAATGTCTTATTCAGTTTCTCCTCACTAAGATCTGAGCACTTTTTAAAGAATTTCTTATGTAATGCTTCTCAAAATATCTATAGTTCTACAAATTGAAGAAATCCTGACACAAATTCTCTCCATAAATTAGAAGCCGTTCTTTTTTCTGTGACAAGCAGTGAAGTCAGTTTCAACGATGTTTCTTTTTTGATTCAAGGAGGAAGTTTTTCAAGTGTATCGAAAGTTGTGCACATTTTGTTTATTTTTGTATGTTATTCATTATGCTGTAAAAGTGAACTAAAAGTCTCATATTTTGCTTCGATACATCATTTATGTCTCTTTAAATTAAAAGCAAAAATTAGCGTAAACGACTCATGATTGACTGGTATATGAAAAGTGTTTTGACTGTATCCAACATGTCGATTCAAAAATCCGATTATTACAAAATCTAAAAAAAAAAGATCATATTTAACCTATAATAAACTTTACCATACGAAACAAATTGAATTGAGGATGAATGATACAGACTTTCAACTCTACAAAGCAACTTTCACGTTTTTTCAGGGCCTCACACTATGCACTAACAAACAAAACTAAGGACGTGGTTCTTCCGCAAGCTGATGTTACATCAAGTCCATGGCTCACTCGCAATTTTTAGCATCAAGAAAAATCAGATATATAGTCTCAATGTCAAGAAATGTGTAAAGACTAGACCTTTAGCTGTTACAACTATTCAGTTTGAGGTTATTATTCTGAGAATATAGTTCGGGAACAGGCACTTAAAAATAGTTGAATGCTTATTTTCCATACAGCATCGTGTTCAAGTTTCAGGGAATTCTAATCTTTTCGAATGGTTAAAGAACACAATACTGAACATCATAGCTCTAGGGTTGCATCCAGAACTCGGATTCACGGCACAATTTAAAAACAGTTTGTTCGGAGAGTAGCTTACGGAAAATAATCTCTGCTCTTTATTTCGTGCGAAATCTCAAAAAAGTTTCACAGCGAGAAAAACAAACGAATGATGCAAAAATAACACGATATAAGAATAGTAGTTCCACTTGTTGACAGAAAAATTCTCTCAATACTCATGGCGATAAAGATTTTTTGAAGAGACTGCGCTGTTAAACATATACACTTCCTCTTTGTATTGATGAGAAATTCAGTGTACTTACGATTGCAATAACACCAAAATGTACCGACGCTGTTGTATGAGCAAGATTGAAGCATTACGCTGCTAATATATCCATCGCGAAATAAATTTGGCCTTGACAGCACATACATACCTATTAGTGAATTAATTGAGTGTATCTTTTTAATCAGATATTTCATTAGCCTTGTAAACACTTCATTAGTGTAGTAAATACATCATTAGTGTTATTAATGCTTCATTAGTATAATAAATCCTTCATTAGTATTGCAAATGCTTCATTAGTGTCGTAAATACATCATTAGTGTTATTAATGCTTCATCAGTATAATAAATCCTTCATTAGTATCGCAAATACTTCATTAATGTCATAAATACTCCAATTAGTGTCGTAAATGCATTACCATCGTTTTGCTTGTGGTCTCCTGCGTTATTAAAAAAGATTAATAGTTGATAATTTAGAATTAATTAAATACTCAGCAATACGTGGATCATACGACGCATTCACTTCTCTTTATTCCAATCGTTGCGCAGGACAAACTAAATATTAGAGTTTCGCTAGCAACAGTTTACTTCTCAAAAGCATAATCCTGATCAAGCCCAACCTCAAACAACATTTTCACATATGACCGAGACCAGACATTTTTCATCCTAACGACTCCGATCGTGTTCTCATCTCGATATTCAGTTTTGCACACAGTCCTGATCGTCGTGCAAGTTGAAGAATCGGCTCACGTTCGGATCTCGTGCTGTCTGTGTATACTGGTTTCAGAACGACTTACAGTATCCGTATCAGTTCAGTCTTGCTTTCAGCTGCGATCCAGTATCATCCTAGTTTCAGAGCGATCCTGGCACCAGTTCCTGCTTTAGCGGATATCGAAGTATTGACGCCGGGTCTCGTTTCGGTTTTAGCCGAGATTCCGAATAATGTTCATATTTCATCTCAGGCATCATCTTCGTCCGAGTTAAAATACATTTTCAGACAGTACAGCATTACCCGTCTCCATTGGGATACGAGTGAGTGGGTAGGTGTTAGCGTAGATGTGGACTGTGAGTGAAACTTTTCTCTACACTCACCCTCACACAACTACATGCACCAGCACCTCAATTTGTTTTTCAGCGCTTTGAGTGTGCTGTCAAATCATAAGAAACTTCAACTACTTTGTAGTTAAAGGAGTGCACCCTGACTGCAAAATATAAAGTAAAATGTTAGAGCTAGAGACATTTCAAGGAAGCTGCTCTTTCTGAATATCTGTGTGTTCCTTTCCTTTTCATCAAGAGTCTTTTATGATTTTTATCTTCCATGAAACTCACTTATTCGCCTTAAATTGAAAATTTTCTAGATGATTCTAACAACGAAAGTGTTCTGGCGAGAAAACCATTTCTTCGAAACCTACCAACTCGAATTTTGTCGCCCAATATTTTGACTGAACACCAATAGTTTGTGTTCTTTGGCATATGGTTTCGTATTACTTCCTAGCTCGATCAGAGCGTTCGCCAATGGCACAAAAATTGAGATGCTGCAATGTTGCATTTGTTCACTGTGACCGAAAGTGCTCGGCTTTTGAATGAAGACCTATGCGAGTGCTTTGCAACTGTTTTTCTCAAATAATTTCTTATCATGTAACTAGTGTCGTCCGTAGATATAAAACCAATATGCTGGCTGATTGCAAATGCTCACGCAGACTGAAACTGGAGCAGACAGTCATTAAACAATAGCCATTGAAGACATATTTTCACTTTTGAAAAACTGTCAACTCTATTTTTTTCGTAGTCACATTCTCAAGTAATTTGCCAGTGTAATCTCAACATAAAAGAGAATCACAAAAACTATATATTGCGCTATTAAAACTAATCGTTTCGAAGCCATCATCATAAACATATTCTTCACAAAAACTTCGCTTAAAGAAAACCCTTCCATGAAAATTTCTTAAAGCACTTCTTTTCCACACTGCATCGTATTTTATTTTCAATTATCATTACATATTTTCGAATGATAGAAGAATACACTATTGAATGGTTGTATTTCTACGCTGGCACTCAGCAACAGGATTGACAGTTTAGGTTACAGACGCTTTTGGAAAGATTGGCTTTATAGTTGGTAGTCTGAACTGTTCTTGTGAAGAGATACATATGCTCGTTGAATTGATGCAAAACCTTGTATATCCATGGTTGGATTAAGAATGTAATGAATTGACGGTGTTCTATGCGTAAGAGCAAATTATTATGTTCTCTATGGATGCATCGCGAAATAAATTAGGCTTTTGCACATACAAGCTTATAAGTGAATTAATTGAGCGTAACTATTTAATGAGATACTTCATTAGTGTCGTAAACGCATTAACGTCACTTTACTTGTTCTGTACAAGGTAGCTCGAACAACTTGATTGATAGCAGTACAGATTCAATCGAATGTATGAGTATATGTGCGCTATACTTTGGATTCACTTATATTTTTTTACGATCATCGCACAGAACAGACTAAATATTGAAGCTTCACTGGCGATAGTTGGTGACTCAATAGTTTGATCGTCGTCGAACCAAAACTTGAATGTCCTTTTCATACGCGAGCGGGAGCAATCGTTTTCAATACCAAAAGTGGTACAGATTTGTGCATCAGTTTTGATCCTAGCTTCACTTCGAGACATGGGCTCAATCCTGGCCTCAATGTAATCATGGTCACGCTTTCATTTCTGGTCCTAGTACATGAGCCAGTTTCAGTTTTCGTCTTCGTATCCGTCCAATTTTGTCACTTTCTTTCAGTTCAGTTTCAAGTGCCAGTTCCAAGTTTTCGTCGGACTCGCAGTACTCGTCCTGGTATTTATTTCGAGTTTAATCTCAGTTTAGACCTCGGTATCAGCTGGTATCATGATTGTGCGTGTGGGATATGGAAACGGGTGTACTTGTATTTGACACCCATACCTACATCCACATTAGAAAAATTGATTGTTGAATTTCGATTTGAAATTTTACACAGATAGATCCTGATGAAAATAGTTTATTGTAAAAGTTTCAAATCTTTTTGTTGCTTGTATTCCAAGATACAGCTATGGTAAAGGCGTGGCTGTTGCATCACTTATGTACAACAATAGATTTGATGTTCTTACTATTTCAAGACAGAAGTCAATCAAAACATCTGAAGCTTTCAAAATAAACTTTTTTATCAAGATCCTTCTTAATGCAGTTTCAAGTCGGAATTCGAAAATTAATTTTTTTTCTCTTTCAAAAGGCAACTGCGGTATTGAGTTACACAATCTCATGGTGTTGTAGTATCTTGACGGATATAAATTAAGGATCCAAGAACTTTCAGAATATTCATAGTTCATGTGAAATATGCATCATTTTTGAGTTTACGATCTCAAAACCTTTTTCATTAAAAATCATGAGGAAACAATGAAACAATATATACTGAAATATAAAAGAAAATCCAACGTCTGCTTTCGAGAGAAGTGGTAATTCAAAATGTTAATTTAATCTATTTCAATTAAATGAAATAAAATATATAAGTATTTTATTTAAAAAAAATATTTAATTTATTCTTTTCATTAAAATCGATCTTGTATTAATATCCATTTGTTCCATAGTATATCCATGGCATGTTAAATAATTTGCAATTTCAATTGGATCTTTCGAACGATAAGAATTTGTATGTGTTAGTATAAATGGACATCCATGAAGAGCTGGAATTTGTGATGGATGTGGTTTAGTTTGTGCTGATGTTGATGACGCATGTTCAAAACTAATATGTACATACATAGGTTCATCATTTGATGATAATTTTTTAGTTGATGATGCAGAATGAATTTGTGGTAACATATATTTATCAATAATTGCTTCACGAAGATCATCATGCATGATTGTTAATACTCCACAACGATAATATGTAAGAATTGAAGAAAAAATCATTGAATCTTCATCAATAACAAATGAATTGTCAGCATCACGTGAATGAAATGATGAATCTATTTCATTAGCAATTAATCTTGCTAAAAAACTATTTGGATATCTGTCTAATATTTGACGATATATACCAAAAACATCTCCATTTGTTAGCTTAAATTTAATTATATCTGACATTAATAATCTAGAAAACAAAACAAACAAACAAGAAACAAATTAACTTTTCCTAATAGTATTAGAAAACAAAAAAACAAAAAGGAAATACTAAGGTGGCATGCGAATAGCACCATCTAAACGAATATTTTCACCATTTAAATAATTATTTTCAATAATTTGTTGTGCTAATCGAGCAAAATCATCAGGTAAACCAAGTTGAGATGGAAATATTACCATTGAAGCAAGTAATTTTTTTCCTTTCTCAGATAATGGTTCTACCATTTTTGTTTGATCAAATACACCGGGTAGAATAGTACATACACGAATACCAACACTTCCAAGATCACGTGCTAATGGAAGTGTCATACTTGCTAAAGCACCACTAGCAGCTGAATAAGCTACTTGACCTAGATATAAGAAAAATACTTAGAGAAATTATTTTCTTTTGAATTATTAAAACAAAAATTAACCAATTTGTCCTTCATATGCAGCAATACTTGATGTATTAACAATCACACCACGTTGTCCATTTGTATCTGGTTGATTATCAGCCATAATATGACATGCTCTTCGTAGAACGTTAAATGTTCCAACAACATTTACATTCATTACTCGATAAAATTCTTCCATTGAATGCATACTTCGTTTCTAACGAAAAAAAAATATATATAATTCATTATTAAAGAGAAATTAAATTAAATTAAAGAAACAAAATATACATTTATATTATAACATCGAAATGCAACACCAATACCAGCACATTGTATAAGGCAATTAAGTTTTGAATTTTTTTCTTGAATTTTTTTAAACATTTCTTCAACTGCATTATCATTTGTAACATCAACAGAATGATATGTAACTAAAGATGAATCCATTGATTTAACAATATCTTCACCTTTTGATGTTGGTAAATCACAAAAATGTACATGACTTATGCCTTGTTTTAAAAAACGATTCAAACAAGCTAAACCAAGACCAGATGCACCACCAGTTATTAATGCTACTAAACCATTCATTTTTAATAAATGAAATTTTTGATTTTAAATCAATCTTATTGATTCGTTAAATATATCATACAATCATAGATAAGTCTTATACATTTAGCGACAATAAACTGTAGAGGTTTGATGAAAATATTCATTGGTTAATTTTGTTGTTTTGTGTTATTGATTGAAATTTCTTCAGATTGAAAGATTTTATTATTGAATGGCAGATACAATTGAAGAACCAACATCAAGTATAACTTGTTCTAGTGAAGAATCAACAAAATGGCAACCATATTGGGATGAAAATTATAAACGATATTATTGGTCAGATGGAAATGAATCGGTAAAATCACTTATTTCATTATTTTCTTTGATTAATATTTAAGTTTTTTAGGTATGGGAAACACCACAAGGTTGTGTTGAACCACCACCACCACCTGATTTTAAATCATCTTTAAATATTGAACAACAACAGTATTCAACTAATGATTATGCTTTATCAATGGCATATGCAAATGTACAAACAGATCTTCGTTATCAACCATATATAGTTCCTCCTGTTATTCCAAGTACAATAAATACAGGAAAAAGACTTGTTGGACAAGATGCACGTGATCTTCGTCAACTATATCACTATTTTGATTATAATGCTTGGAATGAAGAATTAAATCGAACAAATGGTAATCAAAAGAAAAAAGTTAAATTAACAAAAAAAGAACTTGACGTTATTAAAGCACGTCGTGCTGCAATCAAAAGAAAACATCGTGATAAATGGTTACTTGAAGATTAAAAAAGAAGTTTTTTTGTGTCTATGAATATTGTCGTCATTCATTGATTCATTTCTTTTGTTTTTGCTTTCAACAATATAAACAGAGAAACCATTTTTTTTTTTTTTTTTTTTTTTGGAATTTAAATTGTATAAAGCATTAAAAGCTCAAATTGATATATTAAAAAAGTATCTAGCGATAAAAATAGGAAGATTTTATTTAATTTTTTTTTCTGTTTTTTTTTTTAAATATGCATTTTTAATTAACGAAGTAACCCAACAACCAAATGTCTGCAAGCATCATACTAAAAAAATTCAATAATCTTCAGAAATATTAGAATCGAAACCTTAGAAGGCTTGCATTAACAAGACGTTCCTTATTTTTGGTATAATGGGTGCGAATGTGGGTCATATCTGGAGCCGGTGCACTCAATATGTCAACTAAGCAATGAATACTTTCGATAAATAGTTAATGAAGAGACACAATGTAAAATCTATATAATCTTTAGAGTTTCATCTCATACTGAACAACATCTACAATTTACATTGGTTGATTTTTTTCAATAATTATTTATCACAACTGAAAGATATTGCAATTCGTCAAAGGTTATTATGATCAATATAAAGATAGTACGATTTTTATATCAGACTTCAACAAAGACTTGCAATTTGCCAGTTGGAAACTTTCATGCTTATATCTTTCGATCATTAAAACCATGAAAATTGTTAAAAATTAACAAAATAGGTCAGCTTTAGTGTGGATAACTTCTGAACACCAAATCCATTCTGAATATGTCTGCCATTTCTTTAGAATTTCAGATTAAACTTTTTTTCTTTTGCAAAGATTGTAGCATGAAAATCTCTACAAAAACATACGAAACCGTTGATTGAAAGCATGAAAGTAAAAAATGTGCAGAGCTTGAAAAAAGCTAGATGCCATAGCCATACTAATAATTATTCTTTCCAATATATTTTTTGCTTAATTGATATACCAATTAGTTATGAAGTCTTATCTACTCTACTGTAATCTGAATCAATTTTTGATTAACAGTTCAAGAGTGATATATTCAATTGAATTGAATAAGATACTTTTAATATTCAAACCAAAATAGAGAAAAATCGCAAACAAAAAACACTAATGATTACTACTAGTTTAACGTAAAAATAATGTACTAACTGGTTAGTATGCAATGCATCAAGAGTCACATTGTCGAAATTCAATGAACTTCATTTCAATGACAAAAGTTATCAGCGATGTTCTGAGATGATGCATGTAGTATATATACAGCTGTCGGTTGCTGTTCAACTTTCTACTATAGCTAGGAATATGCTTTGGTGAGATTAAGAAAACTTCAAAAAAGGATTCTAGTTTATGACCTAGTATGAACGAATTATAGCTGTTTTATGGAACTTTTCACTAACGTTTGATAGGTATTAGATAGTCTTGAAAGTTTTAAAGAAAACTAACATGTTTTTTCTGTCGAAATATTTAATTTTCATAAAAAGCAACAGTTTACCACAAGAGGACAGTGTAATCCAGTCAAGTTAACAATTAATTATCTCGAGAAATACATGTTCATTTTCGTTGAAACTTTCAGAACGATCTAATCGTTATGACACTTCTATATAGGTAAAATTTCAGTAGAAATTTCATTAAAATGATCAAGACTCTTTATCAATAGATCATGAGCCCGGCTCCCCTTAAGTTTTTTCTTAATCTCGCCAAAACCTACTTGTAATCATAATATGAAATCGAATGATATTCGACAGTTGGATATATTCTCTTGTCAATCCTCTGTGATCTCATTTGATAGGTCAGCCACAAAAATGACATTTTAATACTTTTTTTATTGATCCTGATTTACAATAAGGAATAAATACATCAATTATTTGTTGAACTATTTTTACGGCGTTTCGCTAAACCACCATGTAAAAATAAGAAACTATTCATTTCTGTTTCTTTCGGCCATATAAGTTCATATGGTAATTGTTTATCAAGAATAAGACGTGCACATAGACATTTAAGTCGTGATGGCAATTGTTTTGTTTTTAAGAAAGTTCGTATTGGAATTGCTTCAGCAATATCAAACGGAGTTCGATTATGTACATTCATACAATCTATATGAGCACCATAATTAATCAGTAATTGAACTACTGCTAGTGAATCGATTGTACTATTTTTACAACTGATATGTAACGCGCTATTGCCAGATGTCGCCTCTACTGCATTGACATCAATCCATTGATTGTAACGAGTTATAAGAAGTTGAGCGATGGCTAAATTCGGAAATCTAAGAGAAATAAATAAATTTTTATAATAATTTTTATAAAAAAAAAAAATGCCTTACTTAATTATAGGTTTAATATCTTGTGGTCGATAGTTAATATCATAATAAGTTTGTTCATCAACACATAAATGTAATAAAGTTTGTCCATGAGATGTAATACGTTTTTGACGACAAAAATCATTTAACCATTGATAAATCAATTGACGTTCTACTTTAGTTAATGTTGGTTGTTCGAGTATTTTTATTGCTATAGCTAAAAAACATAATGCATTTTTAATATAATCATCTTTTGGTTTTTGTTGTGATGGTTCAAATGTAAGACGACATATTTGTACAAATCTTTGAGGAGAAATATGAACATTAATTGAAAGCATTCTACAAAATAACCAAACAAAACGATGAAGACCAGTTTCAAGATCCATATTTTGATATAAATAAAATGTATGTTCCCATAAATGAAGACAACGTTCAAATTGTCCTCGTTCAACAAGTTTATCACCAATAACAAGTAATGGTTTAAATAATGTTTCATCTTTTTCTGGTACTAAAATACGTTCTCGAATCATTAATGCTTCAATATATAAACGTTCATTATCATGTTCAATTTTATTAAATTCTTCAATTGTTTGACATTCTTGATAGAAAGCATAAGCAGCAATCGGTTGTGCAACTGTTTTTAACAAATTTTTTCTTTGTCGTATTTCGAATATTTTATACATTAATCGTATCATTCTTTGAAATTGTATCTGTTGAATAATATTATTATTATTATTCAAAATGACTACGAATGAACAAGCAACTAATTCGATTTGTTTAATACCTGTTTCACTATCGTTCTGATCTAATAGATAGTCCACAATATCCATTCGATCATTTCTAGCTGCTAACATTAATGGTGTTTGTCCATTTCTATTCTTTGAAGAAGAACAAGCACCTGCTGAACATAATAAACATACTATATCGAAATAACCTTTCATTGCA